TCTTGCGGGTATTTGTATGTGGATCTTTGGTTATTCGGGTTTTCTCCCGCGTAAAATTGGAAGTATCTAGGCAACGTTTCGATGAAGTCTCATTCATCATCTTCAGGCACAGAGCCAAAGACACAAGCCTGAAGATGATGAATGAGACTTCATCGAAACGTTGCCTAGATGTTTCCAATTTTACGCGGGAGAAAACCTGAATAACCAAATACATATATATATGTTTTTTTTAAGTTTCAGCTTTATGTATGTGTGTGTATGTATGTATGTATACACACACACACACACATACATATAATGACATAGGAGATAGAGCTTTCTGCATGGCGTGATCTTTGGTCTTCAGAAGGCTATAAGGAAATGTTGTCAACAAAATATGGCAGTATATTCTAATTTAAGATTGAACCAGCCTCAAAGTGAGGCCTTCTGGCAGTACACATGATTTTAGAGATTATCTTTTGGGCAGGAAGTGTGAGAAAAATAACCTCTTTCCTATCCTCCAAAAATATTTATCTACCCTGCTATGTGACATTAAGAAGTTCAGGTTATAAAGCTATCTTTCACATAAGAAAAACAGACCAACTGGAGAGCTATTTTGTAATAATCTAAGTAATCCAGTTTGGTTCTTACTTTCAAGACTGGGAACTGTTATTTAAGTGTTTCATTCCATTAAATTGTCATTTGATCTCTACAGATCTATCTGCCCTATGAACAGTATTCTGCTGCAAGGGAAATATGTAGCCCATTGTCAGAAGAGGGGGAATTTCACAAGGATGGCCGGAATCTGGAAGTATCTTCTGAGAGTGATTTGGATGAGAATCTCTTGTCTAGGTTTGATTCTGGTGAGTGGAGAGTAAGAATCCTAACTTAGAAAGTAGATAAAGACTCCAAAGATGATAGAAGGCCCAAAGTATTGATCTGCAAGTTAATAAATATGTTGCAAGCACAAACAATCACTAAGACATCAATCCACAACAGATAATTTAGGCCTGTGATCCCCAAACAGAGCTGTTATCTACAGATAGGCATTTGGCAGGTGTATAATTTCCATTTCTTTCTCAACACATGGCATCCAATAGATGTGGCCCAGCATATCCAAAGAGCATTGGAATGAGAGAATGCAGCTTGCTCACTAAATTTCAGAAAACATAATGTGTGGGCTAGATTGAGAAATTGAAAAGCATTTCAGACACATGCTGGAGCACTGCTAAGAAAACAGCAGTGGATTGAGCTTGCTGTCTATGGAGATTTTCAGTCATCCAGGTCATGGTTGTCCCAGAGGTACTTTTCAAAAGGCAACTGGACTTTATTTTTCCTTGATGAGAACATCTTCAAGGAAAAAACAAGAAAGTCCAGTTGCTTCCTGAAAAAGCACCTTTGGGACAACCATGACATGGATGTCTAAAAATCTCCATAGATACTAAGCTCAGTTCCTCTTAGTTGTAGGCATGCCGTTTTCTTAGTAGTGCTCCTTTGGGACAGTTGAGCTTGAGGTGTCTTTTAATGTTTAGCAAGTGTCTCATTTAATGACTGTTTGCAGTTGAGATGATGATAAAAAAGTAATTTTATGACAAATCCTTTCATTTATGACTGCCGCAAATCCCTAAAGCAAAGGAAAGTTGAGATTGTAAGTACAATCCCAGTTTTACTTAGCAACCACTTTGCTGACTAACTGAGTTGCCAATTCCAATTATGGTTGCTAAGTAAGGACTTTCTTTATCAGGATATGAAATTAACAACTTGTAAGTTTATGCCATCTCAAGGAAGTTGATTATAATTCCACAAAATATCTTCAATTATCAATTTTTGTTTTGCCTGCTCATGTCTTAGATGTTCATGTATGTGGGGATTCTTTCTTAATATCATCACCCCCACCCCAATCTTAGGATCAGTTCTATGTTCATTCTGAAGTAGGTGGCTCTCCTTTTTATCATGGTAGAGTTAACTTTGGGTCTTCAGTGTATAATTAATAGTGATGATTCTTCAGCTATCATTCTTATTTATACTATTATGCCATGGAGCTAGCATGATGTCACAGGTGCTATTGAGGAAATTAAGTCCATATTAATATTATCCAAAAGTCTCTTGTTCCTTCTCTAGAATAACAAGCTATGGTTGCTTTGCATTAGTTGAGTGGAAGAACTCCTGTGATATAATGCTGGAAGGAACCCTATCTATTCCCAGCCCTGAGTGACTGTTTCTGTTTTCTGAACAAATGAGGAAAGTTAAGATCAGTGTTCATCTGGATAACAAAACAAGCATCAGTGTGAATCTCCATTGCTTGGGAGAATTCTCTTAGAACTGAATGGTGAAATGTCATGATTGTGATCTCCCCCACCCTCTACAAGAAGTCCCCACCCATATGGTACCCTAACTCTTAGAGGTAATCCAGAAAGAGGTTTTACTTTAATTTATCATCAGAGATTTAGGCAGACAAATATTAAATTTATCTCAGAGATTTTTTTTTAGCCCTTGTGACATGCTGGAAAGCCCTCTCTTTCAGGCCTCTGCCATCCTTGAGAACAAAACAGGCTGCAGTCATGACCACCTAGTTCCTTTCCTCCTTGGTGGGGAGTGCTTTGCTCTGAGCAGCAGATGGTGGGGGGCATCTGCCACATCTGTCTATCCCGATCTTTGGTCTCTTCTGCAGGCTCTCGCCGGAAACTCCGCCTCTACCAGTTTTTGCTGGAGCTCCTTGAAGGTGGTGACATGAAAGAATGTGTGTGGTGGGTGCAGCGTGATGCAGGCATCTTCCAGTTCTCTTCAAAGCACAAGGAGGTTTTGGCACACCGCTGGGGCCAGCAGAAAGGCAACCGCAAGAAAATGACCTACCAAAAAATGGCCCGAGCTTTGCGCAACTATGGCAAAACAGGCGAGATCCGCAAAGTGAAGAAGAAGCTCACGTACCAGTTTGGGACCTCACTGCTGAGCCCATCACCTTCTTCCTAAAGCCCTCAGGACTCCTGGGCCAGAATAGCCTCCAATGAAATGTTTCCTTTGTTGGCTTTCTTGAAAACTCTATTTGGGCATTTGCCAGCATGGCTGTATTAGAGAACCTGCCAGATGCTTAGTACTAAGCAAGGAGGGTTGGTCTGAAGGCAATGAGGGCTTTTATTGGGTGGGAGGTCCTGCACTTTAAGGGAAGGTTTATGAACCAGGACTTGGGAGGTTTCCTTTTTGGGATGGGAAATTGAGGTTCAGTGGAAATGCATCAGGCTAGGATTCCTGGGTTAATCTTTCCTGGATGGTCTGAGAATCAGAGCTCATATCAACTCTTTTCATGGAATGAAAAAGAGATGAGACAGCAGCAGAGCTGCTAAATTATTTTTGAATATGACCTTAATGGATTTATGCCCACTCCTTAAAATATTTGTGGCGTCTCCCTACAATTGCACAGGACTTAATCCAATGCTTCTCTTATTCTCTTGCCATTCCATGCCTTCAACAACATGAATGACTTTTGGAGCAAGTAGGAAAATTGTGCAGAGTATAGTTCTGGAACTCTTTCCAATCTCTTAATAGCTACTCCACTCATATAATCAGGAAGTAAAAGTGGACAAATCAGCCACTGTCTGAGTTACTGCTCAGATTCAACCCATTTTTTATCTTTCTTTTGCCAGCTTCCTTCCTCACACCAAATTTGGTTTTGTTCAGTTTTCAGAGAATAATCTGGAAAGACAGTTGGTTAGAGTCCTTTAATCCAACTAGAAACTTCTTTAAGCAACTTCTTTCCAACAGTCTGCTGGAAAGAATAAAGAAACAAACAATTGGTAAGGAGAGGCATCATCCCACAAGTGCTGGTCATAAAAAGTACTCATCTCTTGTACTTAGATCCAACAAATACATTGGAAGCAAACCAGAGACAGATATGCAACTTGGGATTTATATGGATTCTCTGGGTTGATATGATCCTCTATGGTTGTTTCACACAAGGATTTGGTAGCAGTTTGAAAGCAACTCCAAAGTTTTACATTTTTGCAGTGTTGACAGTGTTGGAAGACTGAACTAATTAATTTTCAATTCAACTTTGGTGTAAGTAGTCCTTGGCTTATGACAACAATTAAGTTTGGAGTTGCCGTTGCTAAGTAAAACAGTTTCTATTGTTCAGCAATGACCATGTGGGTTGTTGAGCAAGAACCTAATGTGACCACAACTTCTGACTTCCTGCCAGCTTCATTACTGAAGTTACTTGTAAGTACTCGGTAGAGAACTTAGGAAATCATGATCACATGACTGTGGGGATACTGTGATGCCTGGAACTCTGAGAACCCACAATAAGTTGTTCAGCGCTGTCCCAAGCTTGAATGTTCTCTGAACCAGTGGTCATAACCCCAGGAACATCTGAACCTTGACTTTGATAACTTTGTACCCCCCTCTCAGTTTTTTCAGTTTCTTCTTTCAGCAAGGAATCATAATTTATGGGTTGCCAGTTTCCTTCTCTGTACTGGAAATACAGTAAGGAGATATTTGTTGCTTGGAGGAAATTACTTCTCTTCCTTCAAGCAACAAATGTGTTGAGTGTGAAAGTCCATGCACCTTAAAATTGCCCAGGTTGAAAATTAGTGCTCTAGGATTAACACATTTTGGATCAGGGCAATGATCTTTACTTCTGGTTCATCTGTTGGTAGAAGCAATCACTTACAAATGGCTTCTAAAGACTGGGAAAGGAAAACAGTGAGAATGTGGAAATTGCCTGAGTTAACATCATTTGAGCATCATGGTGGGAAGGAAGCAGATTATTCATTTTGGTGACACTTTGTACTAGTCTACTACTAGCCCTTGGGAGCCAAGACAGATTCACCATTTTTGATAAGTCATGTTTTGTTTAGCTACAGTTTGCTGGCTTAACTAGAATTGGTTGTGTAACCAAATCACTGTGGTTTGTTGAGTTACAGCTAATCATGTTGTGCAACCCCAGTTTTGTGGGCTGGCCTTTTGTAACTGGAGGAAACACAAGATGAGGCCCATAAGGCTTGGATCTAAGAACGGGCAAGATAAACATGAGGGAGCTTTCAGGAGGGAGGGATATAATAGATCTTCAAATAGTAGAAAAAAAGATAGTATTGATGGGGTAGGGCAGCAGCGGACGGGAGGGAGGGATTCACATCTCTGGCCCAGGACTTGAGTGTGTAATGTTTATTCAAATGTTTATTTAATACTACAGAGTGGGAAGTTTTTGGTTAAAATCTGATTATTTTTAAAATGGATATCTTTTGTACATATTTTGGAAATTGCTAATAAATGTTTACAACAACAGTGAATTTAGTTACAGCTGAGTTGTTTTATAGCTGTTCAAACACTGGGAGGAAGGATGCTGGTGGATAAAAGCTCTTTGCACTTTCTCCATATCACCTCGTCTCAGCCAGACAGAATGATGAGCATGAAAGAATGGTCAGAACAGGGCATCTGTGTATGTGAGGGGGGGGGGGGGGGAAACCAATCAGGGTGGTGGCAGGAATCATGTAATTTCTTGTTTATGCACATCATATTGCATTAAAAGGGGTCAGGATAGAATTAGAATCAGTGGAATGGAATAGAATAGAATAGAATAGAATAGAATAGAATAGAATAGAATAGAATAGAATAGAATAGAATAGAATAGAATAGTTGGAAGGTACCTTGGAGGTCTTCTAGTCCAACCACCTGCTTAGGCAGGAAACTCTACACCACTTCAGACAAATGGTTGTCTAATCTCTTCTTTAAAACTTCCAATGTTGGATCATTCACAACTTCTGGAGGCAAGTTATTCCACTGATTAATTGTTCTGACTGTCAGGAAATTTCTCCTTAGTTCTAAGTTGCTTCTCTCCTTGATCAGTTTCCACCCATTGCTTCTTGTATGGCCCTCTGGTGCTTTGGAGAATAGCTTGACTCCCTCTTCTTTGTGGCAGCCCCTGAGATATTGGAATACTGATATCATCTCATCACTAGATCTTATTAAACTAGACATAACCAATTCTAGCTGCTGTTCTTTATATGTTTTATATGTTTTAATCTCTAGTCCCTAATAATCTTTGTTGCAAGGATAGGATCAGGATATTAATCATGTGGTTCTCACTACCATCTTGTCTTTCTTGATCCCACCCTGCAAATCCTCTTGGATGGCAAATTTGTCCAATTTGTTTTACCTTGCCCCTGTTCTGTTTAATCTACCTCTGTAAATCCCAGAGTCTGTCTGAGATGGCTCCCTCTGTATTTTTGGCAAATTAGGAAAAAAAAATTTGATTTTAATATGTAGCATCCTTCAAAACCAAATGAGTTTAACCTACAAATCCCATGCTGACTGAGAATTCTGGAAGCTGCAGATTCAACTTCTCAGAAAAGCACCATCTTGGCAGAGGCTGGGATATTTTTTTTTTTTCCATTTAGATTTTTTTCTCCAAAACTTTGCTTATCCCTTCGCACCATTTCTCTGAACTCCACAATATCCTTCTTAGTGTGACATAGTTAATAAAAGGGACATAACTTTATTCACAGTTTTGTAGCTACCATCTTAACCTTTTTGCCCCTGTCTCCTGGATGCCCATGCCACTCAAGTCTAAGGACAAAAGCTGGTATCAAATCATTACCATAACAGAGAGGAGTTCGAAATTTGATAATTAACAATGAGCACTCAGAATTAAGTGACCATGTGACTAGGGTACTCTTTTACAATCCTTGATAGCGATACATTTCTGTATATGTTTGCATATGATGATAATAATTTATTAGATGTACATGCTACCTGAATTTAGTGACTCAGGGCAGTTTATAAATTACTAGACCCCCCTCCCCCCCAAGAAACAAAAAAGAACATAGATGGCAGAAACCAAACAAAAAACCCTCAGAAAACAAAGAAAAAGAAGAAAAGAGAGGCTCAATCATGCCTGCCAAAGACCTGGGTAAAACATCAGCTCTTCAGGGCCCTTCCAAACATCAATAGGGTGGGGGCACATCTCAATTTTTTAGAGGAATCTCATTCCAGAAGGCAGACATGGCTTGTAATAGGCTGTGAGAACAATCTCAGGAGACCCAAAGGTGCTTTTTCAGGAGGCAACTGGACTTTCTTGTTTTTTCTTTGAAGACATTTTGCTTCTCATCCAAGAAGCTTCCTTAGCTCTGACAGGACAGTGGGGAATGGAAGGATTTATATTCCTTGCAGACAGCTGGTCATTTGCATCCTTTTAGGGTCGTTGAAGCACTTGGAGCCTCTAAACCACAGGGGTATCAAACTCAAGCCCTGAAGGCTGTGTCTGGCCCATGGGGTGCTTAGTTCTGGTCCACACGGCCTCCCTGGAAAGAGCAAAGGACTGGCCCATGGTGCCTCTGCCACCCAAAATGGAGTTTGTGAGGGCCATGTGCAGCTCTCCTGGGCTCCATTTTCACTGCAGAGTGCTAGCAAAAGAAACTACTAGCAAAAGTGGCATTTGATCCCATCAGTGACATCAAGCTGGCCACGCCCACCCTGCCCATGCTCACCCTGGCCCCCTAAGGTCAAACATAACCCTGCTCATGCAACCCTCAATGAAATTGAATGTGACACTCCGGCTCTTTTTTTAATATTATTATATTTTTCATTCTTTTTAAAAATATACATCCATATTGTGTGTGAATAGAGTTGGTTCTGGGTATCATTCATATTAATCCAATTTGCAGTAACAATGTTAATAACCTCTATCACATTTATCAAATTTAAGCAATCCTCATTATATTATTTAAACATACATAAACAAAAAATCCTTAACTCCTCATCTTTATCTTCATCTCTATCTTTATTGTTTAATCTAAACATTTCTCTGTTGTATATAGGCAACGTTGGTTCTAGGTATCTAGGTTGGTTCTGGGTATCATTCATATTAATCCAATTCATGCTAACAATGTTAGTAATCTCTATCAAATTTAAATAATCCTCATATTATTTAAACATACATTAAAAATGCCTAATATCTGTAAACTTCTAATCTTTCTATCTATTATTTTTATTCATTCTATAAGAATTATATTCTAATATTTCCCCTATCTAATTTTATTTCAGCCTCTTTCAGCTTACAACCAGGCTACTTTAATATTTAAAGGGCAGTTCCTTCTATCCACCATCTCTTCTTCTCTTTAGTGTTTCAATTCTTACCCATTTTTAATTCTCCTTCCACACTCCTCATCTTTATCTTCATCAATATCTTTCTTGTTCAGTCTAAACAGTTCTCCAAGTACAATCTTATACTGCCAGTTCTCCCAAATATCTCCCATGTCCCAATCTCTTTATCAAAGATATCTTCCTGTCTCTCCAATTGTCAATTTATCCATTTTCTTCTGTCTTTCTTCCTTTATCAGCTGGTTTGTCAGTCCTAATTTTTTGCTCTAGTCCTTGATTGTTGTGGCCAATCCATCTGTTCTTTCTGCTCCTTTTGCTTGCCACTTATCTGGTCTTCCTCTTCGTTAAGCTATTGCTTCATTTGCCAATTTTTCTGATCCATATTTTTTCCCTGTTCATATTCAATTTGGTAGCTTGAGTAATCCATTTCATCTAGTCTTTCTGCTGCTTCCACCAGTCCATAGGCAGTTTGATTTTTATTCATTGTTCTTTGAAAAATGTTTTCCATTTTCTCATCTATACCGTTAATTGAATTGATAATACTTTGGAACAATGAAGTCATCTCATTAAAAAGTCCTCTCATTTCCACAGTTGTTCCTTCAACTCCAGTCATAATAGCAATAAAAGTGAAATAAATAATAAAGCTACAATCTAGTTCAGAAATAGTCCAAAATTGTAGAAGTATGGTTTATTTTCCAATCATTAGTAGATGGGGCTCTCCTCTCTAATTTCCATGCTGCCTTTTTTCCAGCAGGTATTTATTTCACTCAAAATCCATTTCTTTCAAAACAATGTCAATTATTTAAATGAGCCAGTTCTAGCATTTACTCAATATTCTGATAGTCCAAGGTATTTTCCAAGTTCTTTAAATCTGCTCTGTGGTTTTAGTCTTTTATTCTAGCTTCCCAGAATCTCTTTATAAAATGTGTTTTTTATTTCCACCTCTGGTAAGCATAAGGCAATAAACAGTTAAAAGTCACAGCCACAAGATATCAAATATTCTCTTCTGTAAATTTCCAGAAGTCTAGGAGTCACTTTTTCTTTCGTCAGTAGATGGTGCTCTCAACTTATTTTTCTGCATAGATCTCTTTGTGAAAAATACTTTCACTACTTAAACAGTTATGTTTTTAAAACCTCTTCTCTGGAATTTTTTTTGTTTTCCTTGGGGTAATTTTTAAAGAAAAAAAATCATCTCACCCAGAAACAATCTCAGTTCACTGTTCTCTTCTCCTGCACTTTCTTAGGTGTTCTGGCTGTGCCCAGCTTCATGGCAGCCATGTTGACTGCCACTGCTCTTCATCTTCAGATGAGGGGGATTTTCCAAGTCAGGGAGGAGAGATGCAACTCTCCTTGACCTGCAAGATGCCCCCCTTTGCTTCACCACCCTTCAGGGTGGCTACATATGCTTCCAGAGCTCTCTGATGGGGAGAGCTCGGAGTGGGGCCACGGAGCTTGTGGTCCTTGCCTCTGATGCCGCCAGAAATACAGCCAGAAGTCTTGACACTCCTGTTCTAAAAGGATGCAAATGACCAGCTGTCTGCAAGGAATATAAATCCTTCCTCTGCTCACTGTCCTGTCAGAGGTGAAGAAGCTTCTTGGATGAGAAGCAAAACGTTTTCAAAGAAAAAACAAGAAAGTCCAGTTGCCTCCTGAAAAAGCACCTTTGGGACAACCATGACCTGGATGATTGAGACTCTCTATAGAATCTCAGGAGACAAGAGTCAGAGCTGCAGCCTAGGCAATGTCTATAAGAGAAATCTGAATCCAAAGGAGGGATTGAGGTGGAAAAAGCATCTAAGAATGGACCTTCTCTGTTTTTTTGGAAAGTAAAGGAAAGGGAGGGGGGGAAAGTTCTTTCAGATTTTCTAGACTCTGTTAAAGTAACCCTAAATACAGGTATGTTAGTTCTCATGGTTTTCTTTTCCTGTCTGGACTCCTTCAAAGGGTTGACTCTGCTACACAAATTGTGTTCTCTATAGATGGCGTTATATAACTGAAGGAACCCAGAAAGTGCCAATCCTGCCAAATCAGATCAGCCAAGCATATACTATGGGAAATAGAAGGTTCCTTAAATAATCAGGCCATGTGCTGCATATAAACACAGACAAAGGCACACTGAAACTGACATTTATGTGCTTATGGATTTGCATATGGCTATTTCATTCATATTTCAGTG